AAACACACAGTGACACAGAATTAGACACCCCATCAAGGGATGAATGTTGCCGACCGCTTGCTTCTCTAGTTATACCAGCTTTAGTAATGACCGCAGATAGCAATACAGAGAGCCACACGCTCAACCAAAAAGCCACTCTAAAGCCACAGATAATGCTCAGAACAGCACCTAACTTCATCAACAGGACATATAGGGTCCCAGCCATAGTACTAGCCACCAAACATCTTTTTAGCTTTGCCTGATTTCTTCAGCAAAGAGACTAAACACAACTCACCTACTCTCTTCCTGAAGCCGCTTGTTTGTATGGAGACCTCCGGGTGAATCCATCGTCTGTAGCGGGGTGTCGCAGCTCAATGAAGAACATTTATCATCATTACTTTATCATTTCCTTTAAGTAATAATCATCATATCACTCATTTTGCACTGCAGACATGGTAGTTCTTCTGCCTTAGCGTCTTGGTCTGATTGCATTTCCATGAGGACCGGGGTATCTAACTTACAGTGTGTTTGACCCTAACATAATATTACGCTAGAATATCCCTTTAAGGCTAATAGTGACACAATTATTGATAATCTGGATGACTGACTAGACATCTAGAGCAAGCAAGCCTAGTAGAGACCCATCTCTTCATGCGATCAATAAAAGAATCTCCTCTTTGCCAATAATGGGTTCACAACGCTGAAAGTAATCAGCCATTATTAAGTAAATGGAGACTGTGGGTTCACAGTGCAATCAGGCTACACGCTGCAGGGACTGCTCAGAGAACTTCAAGTGCCAAATGTAGTAATTATTCTGTGATTTATTATTAATTTGACAAGAATATCCAACTATCAAACGTCCCTGTGAGCATACAGGAAACAGCAGCAGCAGAATGAATGAATGAAAATACCACAGGATGTCTCAGTTTGATCCATTCTTTTTGTTGTTTTCCTCTCCATTAAGTCTTCATTGTGCTAATTCATTTCTTCACAGTATAAAGGCTTTGGCAGCTTTCTTCCACAGCTCTCCTAGCAACCACAGCTGGTGCCATCATGAAGGCCCATTGGAAAATTGACAGCGCTCATATAATGGCTAAATATATAACAGGTTGTCAAGAAAAAAAAAAAAGATTTACCTGAGAGCTGAACCACTGGATACGAAGCAGAGAGGGTGATGGAAGCGTGGAAGCTGAAATTGTTGAAGGTTCACAGGTTTTAAGAACTTCAGATAAGTTTTTCTGACATGGGGTTGAGGCGATAATGACCAGATTTTCATACAAGGACGAACATTTCTTTCAGACTTGAGGTTTTTCATCATTCAGCTCCTTTTTATGGCCTGGCCTTAAAGATAGATACACTGCTGTGAGTCCTGCTGTTTCGTGCCACGCTGATTGGACCGCTCAGTGGCCCGCTGGTCTCGGACTGATGTCTGAAAACACACACACTTACACACAAACAACAAATACACACATGCTTTTCACCATGCTGATGAGCACAAAAGTATCCAAATGAGGGACAGGGATTAATGTGTGTGTGGGTGTTCATGCTGAGGATAAAAAGTTTGGGAATCAGTGTGTCGGAGGTGGGTGTTTGTGTACATATCAAATGTGTTTACATGCGGATGTGCGGGTAGAAATTAAAGGAGTGGGAGAGAACTGCAAATTACAGCAGAGCAACTTTGGTTTTATTTGAAATTGGAATCTTGAGGGGAAGTTTGGACTTTTTGATCAGTGATGTAATGGCTGGTAAACTCACCTAATCTCAGTTTAGCCACATTTTATGGCTGATGTAAAATGTTAATGATGTAAATGCAGTGTACCACATGTTAAGCAGCATCACAGTGATGTAAGTTATATGAAATGTCTTAAAATAAACAAAAGCGGAAAGTCGAAGCTCTTTGAATGCGGCCATGTTACTATGGGCGGAAGATTTCTTTGTATAGTAGTTGCAGTCTAAGGATGTTTATACAACGGATTTGATTGAATGTGGGCGAACAAATATGAATAATGGTGGAAAAGGAAATGAAATCAGGTGTTGTAATGACATGTTCAAACATTTATCAAGTATAAACCCTTCACATACACACTTATTTAGTTTATCCCTCTTCCTGTGTTAGGCTCTGTATCGACCTGTTTTTGTTTTGAAATGCTTAAAGGAACCATGTAAACTAGCTTTTTTGCATCAAGACTTTTTGACTTTGTCGGGAACCTCTATTTCAACAACAACAACAAAAAAAAATTACTCAATTATGAAATGGTCTTATTAAAATTATGGCACTTATAGTGTTAGGGTCGCTGTTGACCCAGTTAGATAAATATCTAATAATTAGAACAAAAACTAAAATCAAGTGCACTGTCAGGCACCACACTGACAGTCAGATCCTCCTCAAATCATGTGAGATTTAGGAAATTCCCATTTTGTCTGTTTTTCCCTGCACAAAAAAAAACGTCGGGCATGTCCAGACATGTGAGATCAATTCAGTATAGATGTCTGTATGAGGGGTATACTGACAAAGAAAGGCCCAGAGGACCACAAAAAAATATTTTGAGCAATATTTTTATGGATAATGAAGCTTAACAAGGTAACCTATAATGAGAACCAAACTGGATGATAGAGAATTGTTTTTAGTGTAATTTACAGCTAATTTAACACATGGGTCAAAACCGACCCTAAAAATAGTGGGTGCATAGTAAAAGCTAATACAGGAGGAAGGTTATAGTTATAAAACTCTATTGGTAAAGGGACCAAAATGAAGCAAGTAAAGCAACACCACACATTATAAAAAACTGACTTTATCTGGTTCTTCAAAATATATTCAAGTTGACAACATATGCACAAAAGACAGACAATGAAACAGAAATGATATTACAGCATCATAAAATAAATGCAAAAACGACAAAAACCATGCCATACTATTTCATATATTTAAATGGCTATATGGCACCAAGTCCGTATTTTCTCTTTGTGTTGCTGCAGAATGGCTTGGTTTTCATTTGGCGTGCATACTAGACAATTCATACTGCCAGCAGCGCGTCTCACATGCCTAAAATCTACAGAACAGAAGATCTCCCTTTTTTTCATGAGCCATCTCAACAAAAATAAATAAGTTGAGGGCCATACTGGCTCTGCGTCAACCATGTTTATGTCACAAGCATAGAAAATATACTCTGAAGGCACTTCCTCAATGAATGCCAAAAACTAAAGCATTAATCTGTTCTTTCAGTGGTGAGACTTCCATGTTTTTTTACACAACGCTTTTATTCTGAAGCTGCTTTAGGACAGTTTTCTAGTAAAGAGGATGAAAAGTTGGCGTCAACTACATTAGATGTAGGCAAGCTTTGTTAATAAAATCCGTACAGCTGGTTACTTAAAATATATAAGCTATTTTACAAGAATGACAGCAGCCATCATGCAGCTGCCTCGCATCCAATATGAAACTGGCAGAAGTGTAAGGCGTCCTTGTGAGAGCTCCTGCTTGTATGCAGAGCTCCAATTCAGAGCGGCACAATTTCAATGCTGTACCATTGTGTTCTTAAACTCCTGTATTACTTAGAGGTAAAAGACAGCATGCTGTGAAAGACAGGGTTTATTTTTCATCATTTTGAAGAATTAGACTTTCTCACATTAAGAAATATGCATAAGAGCATGCACAGAATGTCAAATCAGTGTCAATACTGTGTAAAGTTATTAAAAGATGATTTTGATCCCAGTGATTCCTGCTTTGCGCTTATCAGGAGTTTCATACTCTGTTTCATACAGGTCCTTTATGCTTAAAATGTGTGTTCCTCTAAATGGTTAAGCCTATGACAATACTCGGCTGTGAATTTCTTCAATTAAACATCATCCACAGGTTTGAGGTAATTCACACACTGCAAATTAGTGTTCTGTCTGTATTTGTGATACGGATGCTGACTGACAGCAATCTTATCAGCTGTATCTGTGAGCCTCTGTAGCTCAGTCTGAAAGTACTTCTATGGCAGTTTGATTATGTTTTACACAAAGTGCTTATTACTTATGACTTGCCAACTGAGCCGTCTGGAAGTTTAACAAAGTGAGATGTGTCATACAAAAGTACATCAGGGTGGTAATTTCCCAGTAAGAGGACATTGCAGAAGCTTCACTGTGGTATGTAAACAGCACAACAGCTAATACGTTGATGTGTTGGAGCTTAAAGCTCTATTGTTTATGCGAGTAGCACTTTAGTTTCTCTGTGCTGGTTTCAAAACTTGAACTATTTGCCTTCATATTCAGAAGTGAAACCAACAAATGAATAACATTTTATATGGGGTGGTTTTGGTGCCAAACATTGCTTTGTCACACCTTTGTAATTGGTTATACTTAAAAGCCTGTTGGTTCCAGATATAGTTTGAAATTTTCATTACACAGCAAGACTTTCAAAGCCCGAAATCATTATGCGTCATGTGTTTTCTTCATGATTAACGAATGAATAATGATTTGCAAGTTCCATTTAAACTGATTACACATTAAAATGAATTCCAAGTGTTAAAACCTTTCCTATTTTTCAGAGGTAATGTTTTTTAAATTTTTCAGAATTTGTCCCAACTCTGACCTTGTCTTGAGACCATAGTCTCTTTTCAAAATCACCATTAATGAATAAGACAAGCATATTAGACAACCATACTGAGAACACTTGGCCACATTACCCACTCTTACTGGGTGTTTTATCCAATGAATTTTTGTGCCTGTCTTTTTGCTGCTGTCCTGTAATTGTCTCTTGATCTGTCGACCTAAAACATGTCAAGATCTGCTTAAAATACTGCTATCTTGCTTATACCTGAAAATACCACATTGTATTTTCTCCTATAGACTCAGATTGGCAAAATACATACAAACTGATAAAGTGAAGTGATCTTGAAGTTGAGCAATTAAAATCTCCTAATCTACAGAAGTTTGCCCTGTACTACTTTTAAAAGATTTCGTTTGGAGTCAGAGAAAAATGATGTGAAATTACAGCAATATTTTTTTATCTTGTTCTTTCCTTCCACCTCCTCAGGCTGAAGCAACTACATGTCCAGACATCCTGGTTTAAGACTGACCCAGACTGTCAGGACCCCCTGAGAAAGGCCGTGCTGGGTCAAGACCACCGATCAGGGGCTAACAACTCAAAGGTCCTGAGGAAGCGGAGGAGGAATCTGAACCAGACCCTGCGGTGAGCTAAAACTGCTCTCTTTTGGATTCAATCTGTGGTCTGAAAGAAGGAAAAATACTGATTTTCAGGAAGCTTTAAATCGTTCTGTTTTAAATGTGTGCTTATTAAAACACAGTTACTGTAAAATCAGCAGTATCAGGTGAGCTGGTATAGAAAATGCAGTCTATTTTTGGGTGGGTTTCCATGGTGAGGTGGCAACTTGCCTCTCTCAGAGTAATCATCCAGGTACATTGGACACACTGGTGTGCAGGATGTGACCCACCTTTAAGATGACAAAAGGGATATTAAAGGTGCATCTAATACGCAGAACTTAACAATATACAAAGATATACTTAATTGAAAAGTATATTTTAAAATTACATAAAATATAGACACATATTCATCAGACATTGAGCATATTAAGCCCATAAACAGTCAGTAGCTCACATTTAACAAGCCACTGGCAGTTTACATTTCAGTCATTGTAGCAAAGCAGAGGTGTCAAAAACCGACTTTTCCTATGTGTGAGATTTATTTAGTCTTTTCACTAGTTGAACTGCGAGATCCATTTGTTCTGAGCGAAGACCAAGGATAGTTCCCTTCTGTTTGAAAAACCTCCTGTTAGTGAATCCTTACAGTCAAACAGACCCCCCTCACTGAAAGCACTGATGGGACATGGAGTTTGTTGGTACATGATAGAAAAAATTAAATGCAACAAAAAAAAGTGTTGTATGTACATCTTTTGTGTGGGTTGATCAAAAGTAGCACTTGCCTTACCCAATTTTGACTTTATAGTTACAGAAACGTAGCATTAGTCCATCGAAACCTAGACAGTTAAAAGATTATTCTAGGTTGTGTTTTAAGATAAATTTTGGGATGAAAATAGCATACTGGAAATTACTCCTAGTCTGTGCCCAAGCTGTATCCAACAGTACAATTAATATGTATGTCTCGCGAGAGTATCCCAGTCACGACCACACTTTTTAGAGCTGGTAGCAGCAACTGGGTGATCTGTGGGAGTGGAATAAATGCAGTTTTTCTTGTGGGGAATTACTGTACAAATGGATTAACTTTGAATCTTCAGTTTGAAGGTGAAAATCCTACATAATGTTGCGTCAAAGGACTAGTAATTCTGATGCCATCTAGCAAGGGTGATAATCTACCAATATCTATCCCTGATTTTTATATAGCTGTTTATTTAAATGAACAGAAAATGACAAAATAAAACACAAAAGCAATGCTAGATTTCCAGATCTTTAGAATAATCAACCCTTTTGTTTGAAAAGTAGAGAAAGTTCGACATCACTGGTAAAGAATGCTTTCTTTGTTATAGTATGGCTCTCAAACACAGTTAATGTGTTGTTTTTATGGCCCTTTGCTCTCTTTTCTAATAATTAAAAACTATAGAGCAGCTTGGCTCTGTGTTCTGAGGACTTTCACACTTTTATATATATGTACAGTATAAATGTGATAGTTGCCCACAGACAGCCCTGCCTCCTCCTCCTCCTCCTCCTCCTCCCACCTGTAGCGTTTTCATCTTGGCACATTCTCCTTCGTAACTATCTTGGCTCATATCTCCAAGAGCTTTTCTGCGGCTGACGCCTGCTCCCTCATTCACTAATCACTAATCAGAGCTCACAGCCCCGCTGCTCCGCAGTTAACCTTCGGGCACTCGGGAGATGCTCCTCCACCTCCTCTGCATATGGCTGTTGTAGGTTTTGGGCGGCAGCCAGGGTGCCCTCTCACACTGGCCCGCCCGCCTGCCTACCCGCCAAACGTCGGCCCTGTTGAGAGGCACAAAGACATTAGTAAGCCAGTCATGTTCAAGAGGGGCCGCTGCCTCTTTAAGACTGTGGGAAAGAGGGCATTTCTACAGTGAAACAGGCCGTTTTCACACATTCCTGAGGAGGGCATATTGAGCTCATTATCATAGCTAACTACAATGGCTCTTTGTGGGAGAGCTGGGATTTGGGACAGTGCCAGATATCCTCGGGTGCATGTGTAGATGCACATGTGTGGATCTCTCTTGATATTTTTTTCTGTTTCAACGGAAACATGAGTGAGATTATGAGATCAATTTAACACAAGTTTTCTCACTACAGTCCTCACAACAAACACCGAAAAAGTTTTTCTTAGTTAATCTAAAATTTAATTGTGTGGAGAACAGATAAGCCATGTCTTTGCATAGTATAATAAGTTTATATAAAGCCTGAACATGTGAAATGAACTGACACATACTTAAGCTTAAGAATAAAATCCAACTCCTGGTTCAATTCCTTTTTGTCACAAGTAAAGCATAAAACCTCAAACTTCAGACATTAAAAATGTGGTTGACAGATTGACTTGTCATTATGCAATAAGAGGCATAAGAAATGGTAATAGTGCACAATAATAATATCTCAATTACTCAACATGAGCATGATTGAGCCAGAATACAAATCACATTTTATTCCAATGAAAACTCTGTAGTTTGAGGGAAGATCTTTGCAGGAGAGGCTGAGAGTTAAAGAGCTTGGACCTCATCAGCTGGACAGCAAAGTTAAACAGCAGCCAGATGACAAGGAGAAAGCACATGGTTGTTTTTTAGGGAGCTGGTTTACTGAGAAAGCTCGGCTAATGGTGAGTTGAGATGCTATGGCTTTATTTTGCTAACCCCTGACACATTTTTCAATCATCACTCTCTCCATGCGAATTGGGCGAATCTTAACATGAGCGAATATTTGCGTTACAATAACTAATCAGCATGAAGGTTGCTGGGCGACGAATGAAAATGGACGTTTGTTCACTGGTATCTAAAATGGAGGACAAACTGATTGTGTCGGTGTGTGGGTGCCCTGAATTATATGATACCTTTTCCTTCAGTAACCGAAACTGGAATCAAAAGGAGTTCGCCTGGGGGCAAGTGAGAGAGGAGGTCGGATTACCTAGTAGATTGTAAAAAACCTTTGTCTGTCACTTGATCCCGTCGGGTTAAATTGGCAGGGATTACCGTTGAAATTACAGTTGACACATGAATTAAGCGAGTAAATACCATTCAATTACGTGTCTAGATTCGCGCAAATTAAACAAGTAGATGATTTTACTCGCGCTTGGTGTGAGCGCCCCATTAGACTGAAATGGAAACTTATCAGAAAAAGATAAAAACCATGAACAAACAAGGGGCAACATGAAAAATGCTGTTTGGAATAATGGATAAATGCCTTTTGTTTGTGTATTTTTACAAAACAATGCTGTACTGTCTGTTGTTCAACCTTGTATGGAATATGTGTTTGTGGTTTTGTTGTTGCCCCCTGAGAAAAATGCACCCGCTCCCTCTTGGGATTGCCGTATCTTTACCATAGTGGGTAATGGTGCTCATGGGAGATGCAACCCTCATTCTAGAAAAACACACCACTGATTTCATCCGAAGAGGTCAGCATAATCAACACAAGAAAACTCCTTATTGTGCCTTTAAGCGTCACAAGATAACTTTTGTCCGTATTTCAAGTAACATAGAAAAGTTGGATAAGACTTGATAATTTAAATGAAGTAACATTTCAAAACAAAAACAGCAAATGTATTCATCAGGTGATCGTGTTAAGGTAAGACGTTGAGGTCCAACGTATGAAAAAATTCAATGCTGTCTTTTTCTGCTTCTCTGCAGTGACTGCACAAGAATGCAGCAGGCATGTTTGAGTCAGTGAGTGTGTGCGTTGCAGTTGTAGCGATGATAGCAGACGAGGGTGGGGAGTTTGTATTGTGTTACACAGGAAGACATTAGCAGACAGCCACTCTGAAATCGGCGCGCTCGTTTCCTACCAGGACGCTCCCGGCAGCCGCACTGATCGAAGCCGACATCAACAGCTTTCCCCAGATTCCCAGATGCCCTCATCACACGCAAATACACACAAATGCACACACACATATACACACACATACAAGAGTTTTTGGGACAAAATATGGTGACATCAACTGAAATCTCCCGTCTTTGGTAAAACAGAGCCAAGCACAGGAAGTAACAGCAACAGATGCTGTACAAGGCCATCATGTTTCGCCATGTATTCCCACTTGCAGACCCCCCACCCTGAGCGTATCACCCTATCGTCTAGACCCCCGTCTCCAACTCTCCTTCTCTGCATGTGGCCTAGCAAAAAAAGGGAGGGTGATTCTGCCTCTGCCAGGAAAAAGGTTAAAAGGGGCTGTCTTTCATCAGCTCATCATCCTCAACTCCTGCTGCATAATTTATGGGCTTGTTACTGTAATCAAAAATTCTTTTTTATTTTTTAGGGAGAGGGATGTGGGGGGGAGTCGGGGAGGGTTGGAGACGCACGATGGAGGCAGTGCTCTCCCGTACAAACAGTTTCCCGCGAGCCCGGGCCTTTTCATGTGAAATGAGATACTGCTGTAATGTCCCTCGGGTGAGCAGGAACACACAACACATACACAAAGTTGTGGAGGAAAAATCTGTGTGTACACAAGCAGCACAATATCTTAAACTTCTTCCACTCGGCTCATGAATGTTAATGAGGGCAGGATACACAGACACATTCACAGTCTGTAAACCTCGCTGCAGCCTGTGATGGTGTCAGTTAACAGACTATTGTTAGGCCAAACTAATTGATCATGAGGGTGAGTCTTGTTTTTATTTCATCTATAACAGCCACACGATTGTGTCATAAATCTCCTAGCAACCACATTTTGCACTGTGAAAAGAAATAACTTAGAAATTACGGGAAATATAACATATATGTAACAATCTAGCTGAAATATCTATGACGTCAATCGTTAAAGCAAACAAAGGAATCGGTGCAGTGTGGACATTTAGGGATAATATTGAACACTGTATTTGACCATTACCTCCAATACACCCTTGTAATTTCACATATGTAAGTATTTATATCAACACTGCTGGGGGGAGAGTTTCTAGATGTATACATTTCTACATTTAGCTAGGATGTTTTTACAATGCACTTATCCCTCCAAGGTGATGTTTTTTCAGATAATTATTGCTGTAACGCCACAGTTTCCCTCTATGGGAGCCAATAGGTCTGTCTGTCTCAACATTTCTGCCCATCCATGCATTCAACCATTCATGCACTGGTAGCAAACAGGTAAAAACACATAAGGTTCAAAAGGGTTTTGAATTTTTGCATTAGACCTTCGGACAGAGCAGATAGGAGAAGCAAATGATAAGCAATTCTTAGTGTAATCTAATCCATTGTCATCCTTTATTCCCACAGGAAGAGAAAGTATTGCAGTCAGTCTAGTCAATACTTGTGTCTCCACAGGGACCGTTACAGCAGCTTTCAGCTAGTTCTGTTGGCAAGTCAGACGTAATTTGTCCTTTTTGTCAAACAAAAATAAATATTACCAAGTTCTGAGTTTAAGCTACCACTTATGAGCCAAGCATACAGGTGCAGCGAATCAGATCTGTGTCAAAGAAACCTCAGCTATTTTAGAGTGTGGATACAACAAACTGGAATCTGGAAATGAACTGACACATATTTATGCTTACGTATAAAATTCTGGCCCTTGTTTTGATAGCATTTTGTCAGAAGTAGAGCATTAGAATCTCAAACTTTACAAATTAAAAATGTTGACAGGTTGACTTGTCATTGTGCAATAAAACGCATAAGGAATGGTAATAGTGCGCAATAAAATAGTATTATGTGGTGAAAATATCTCAGTCTACATGAGCATGATTGAGCTAGAATACAAATCTCAGTTTATCCCAGAGAAAACTTCATGGTTTAATAGCATTTTGTCACAAGTAGAGCATTAAATCTCAAACTTTAGAAATTAAAAATGTTGTTGACAGGTTGAGTTGTCATTGTGCAATAAAACGTATAAGGAATGTCAGACGTAATTTGCACTTTTTGCCAAACAAAAATAAATATTACCAAGTTCTGATATTGAGCTATCACTTATGAGCCAAGCATATAGGTGCAGTGAATCAGATCTGTGTCACAGAAACCTCAGCTGTTTCAGAGAGTGGATACAACAAACTGGAATCTCTGAAGTTATGTGTAAAAAGTCCCACATTAAACAAGGATCACCCGACACCAGATAATATATTGACAGTGATTGGACCCTCTGAGTCATGTTTTAGATCACACTGGTGGAGCATTTATTTGAATAGAAAATCGTACAGTGCACTCAATTGCATCCATTGAAATGCCCAATCAACACGATGTTAAAAATTACTGTATATAATAAATATGGGTTACATCCTTATTTAAAATTCTTTTCTAGAAAACCGTCTGGTCTGAATTCAATCAGCCTGTATAGCTCGCACATTTACCAGTCAATAAAGGTGACTCCATGTAGCCCGGCATCATCGTTCAACTATGAGACTTGTGTCGGCAGCTTGTACTCAGAGGTTTGGGGTTGTGTCAATCAGGAGCTATGGCGGCTTGTGGTAAATTTCCCATACCTCCTCTTCTTGAAAAAGCAGCATCTGTCTCTCTTCTTTTCTTTTGCCCTTGCCTCCTCATGCTGAGAGACTCAAAGCGAAACCTCAAGTTACTACATTTTAACTTTTTTCAAATGCTCTGTATTGATCGTCTGTCAGTGCGGCTGTTGTTCATCAAACCCCACTGACAGTGATCCCGACAAGATGGTTGTTATTTATGCCACAACACTCGCTTTATTAAAGGCACTGTGAGGAGTTTTTCACTGCTTACTGATGCTTCTTCATGACCTACATAGCAAAATAAGATAATCTGCAACAAGATTGGTTTCTTTTAGCACCAGTATTCTGGGGGAATTTTGAAAGGATATGTGAGAACTCTTAAGGAACCACACACATTAGCTTCCCATAATATGTTAGATATTAAGTTTACTGCTGTTATACTTATACAAAAACGTTGTTGTCCTAGGCCGTCATTGAAGGACTTTGTAGCTATAATAACCCCAGGTTTCCAGAACAGTTGAGATGCAAAGGTTGAGCGAATCCACTTGAAAACAAGTTGAAATTGCTTCCAGGTGGATATTAGTGATGGACACGGCAGTTCTTTTAGATGTACTGAATCACTAGAATCAGCTCACTAAAAAGATTTGTTCAAAAGATTCTTTTGTTCGTTTGACTCAACTTCCTGATCTGATACACAGCTGAATGGTTCAGGATTCAGTTCAGATCATAGCTTCTGAGACCGGGAGACAAGAGTGTTGTGGCTGTGTTGCTTTGACAAACAGGTTTGTAAAAATGAACTTGTTTACCAATCATGAGGTTTTAAGTGTACCGTCCAATGATATGCTATTTGTCTACTTGGTAAATTGGGTTCATGTTTACCCCACTGTACACTCAGTGAAGAATTCACACTGAACATGCACCGTTCCCTCGCAAAAAGCCACAATGATAGGATCGGTCATGCATTTCTCAAACTGCGGGTTTTTTTACACCACTTGTTACATGCTGTATCCTACTAAATCTGTTAGAACAATGGCCATGAAAGTGTATCCCTCAGGCAAAAATAATTCCAGAGAGTGTAGTTCACTGCGTGATTCGTTCACCAAGTGATTGAGGCATCAGCCCTTGCAGTCCCTCGCTCGCCAGCTTCTCACCCAGCAATGCTGTATGCTATGGTAGCTGCACTGCTAACAGCTCAACTTAAGTGAGAAATGAACGAATCACTTGACGAAGTGATCCAGTTAAGTATGTTCACTTAAAAGATTCAGTTCATTTTGAACGAATCATTCGCGAACGACACAACACTAGTGGATATATCCCACAACTTTGTCCTAATAGGACGGCAGAGCATGACATCAGGTTCTTAAAACAAGCTGTTCAAAGAAGCCTGAAAATGTATCAAGTGATTACGCAGCGGTGATTTTTCTGCAAGTTTAAAGGTATTTAAATTTTAGCATCAAGTAGGTGATTGAATAGATGATGATTATCAGCCAACTCCTGCAATCAGTAATCATGGTTAAATGAGTTGCTAAGGCAGTGTTTAAAAGTTTTCACTCCCTCTGTCTCCATTATTCATGCTGTTTTTTCTGACCTGCTACATGCTTCTCTTACGGGTGGTGATGATTTTCTCCCGTCTGCTGTCTGTTGTTCTAGTCTCTTATTAGTCAGACTCACATTCTCGCCTCACCTTGTTTATTTCAGTGGAGGAGTCAGAGGTTTTAGTTTGGGATCTTTTCTTTGTACAAGGACAACAAAGTCAGTTTGTTTGATTGCTTTTTGGAAGTTTAGACTTTTTAGTTTTTCAAAGCAGTCTGGTTTTTATCTGGAGCTTTAGAAATAGAAGCAAGTTCTGAGGAATAATTCTGTAAAATTCAGACTTATTCAAAGACCTTACACTACGACTTTGTAGGTTTAGCCTCTGTACAAACCTTGCTGTCAGTTATGAAAAGCTGCTCGTCATCTGCAACTGTGAGGCTCTTGAAAAAGCAGTTTCAGTCTTATAATCAAAGTAGTATAACAGTATAAAAAGCTCTTACGCTATAGTATAAAGTTACAAACACTTTATTGAGATACACTAATTCATATTCCTGCAAAGTATTTTTCAAATACACAAAATTGCGTACTTTTTGCGCTCACTAGACATGTGCAAGTATGCCAGAAGACATTTTTAACAAATAGTGCTGTGGAGCAAAAAGCATCTCTGTGCAGCTGTGTTGAAAAGAGTCATTATACATTCATCTGGGGCAAAGCAGGCTCCTCTCTGAGGTGAAATTTCTTCAATCTGCTGAGAGTTGGTGAGCCATAGTTTTTGAGAGGGAATGTCACACTCAAATTTTCCATGTATTAAGAAAAATTTTACCTCCAGATAGGCTTTAAGTTGACTGCAAAAAACACGTCAATTTTACTGCCATTACTGTATTACTTTATGTTCATCAAATCTAGAGTTTAAAAGCCTTTTTTAAAATTGAAAACAGTGCAAAGGCAACATATTAAATGCCGAAACAAAAATTTGAGTTGTTTTGAAAATTTTAGCTTTAGAGCTACTCTGAGGAACTTTTGGTTTGTGTTGATTTTGGTGCCCCATGTGGACAAAGGGATCCCTTTTATCTGAAACCATATTTGTCTTGGGGTCCAACATAAGTGTCCTTTGTTCCATAGGTTTGGGTCACATACAGCAGTGAGACTTAAGTTTTGAAATTTTGTAGGGGGCGTTATGTTGCCTTACCTAGTCGCAGTTTAACAAAACAAGGTGCTGATTTTCTAGCTTATCTGGTACCCCATCAGGTGTGTCCTGAACAAATCTCAGCTGCCTCCCCTCATAGAAAAGGTGTTACAGGCGATTGAACAAAAAATGCATTCCCCTCTGCCACCAGTTGGCGCTATAACACACGGATATAAGTTTGGTGTTAAATTGTCCAGTGTTGGACCGTTATCAAATGACTAAAATCTTGTGGTGATGGAACCAGTGTATGGAAGTGTTTTTTTTTTTTTTTCGGAGGATGGTATGGGAAAGTCCCGCCTCCTTCACCTATGATTGGCTAGAAAAGCTGGAAACGTCATCACATGCTCAAGCCAAACGCAGGCTGTCGGCTCAGTACATCGAACAGAACATTAGAGAACATTATCACACTTCGGAGTCTCCTAATCCTAACCCTCATCCTAATCCTAATCCTAATCCTAACCCTAACCCTAACCTGACAGACAATGACGTTTCACAGCCATAAGGAATAACCAATTGGAGCCCAGCACTTCTAGCCAATCAGAGGCGAAGGAGGGCAGGACCTTCCCCTACCATCCAACAAAAAAAAAAAAAATTCATGTACGGGAAAAATTGCCCGCTGCTTGCAGTGTCGGCTCAGGCCCTAATAATGGATAATTTGTTGCAGTAACAACATAGTTTAAACCAATATGACATTATTACATAAGATGAGCTTCTAACTCATTGCGTGACTTAACAGGAAAATGCAACCGTACGAATATTGTTTGCAGGACTATAACTAGCTAATTTCCTCTAATTGTTATCATTGTATCGTTTTTTTATACCAAATACAAAATATGTTGCATGCAAAGGTCTGACCATGTGCACAGTTAGTTACCGGAAACACAGAGGAAGAGCTGAGGAATGAGAGCTGAAGGCCTCCCTGCAGCCCACAGGGTGGAGAGTCTGGTGGCTGTGCAGGAATGCGTCTGACCAGACTCCTCATTCATCTCTCAGCCTCTCAGGTCAGCTCGCCTGCACTCCTGTGGGGAGGAAGCTGCATTATCAAGAGTCCTGGAATGGTCTGGCTTTGATGAGGTGGATGATCGGTGGTTGAATCATGTAAAAATCACAGGTTTCTGTGGGCTAAACTTCCCTTTTACCCTGAGTGTTGGCTGTCAGGACAGTAATTAAAGGCTGTGGTTAAAGATTCCAGTTGTGTGAGATGACTGGGTGTTCATTGTTTGTTAGGAAACTTTTTCTACACACACAAACTCAAACACACACACATTTTAAAGACAGTGTCCCAACATTCCTACCCACATGCGTGTATTCATGCAGCACATTGGCATGCAGCACACACCAGGCCGGCATAATGATGGAGAGCTCCCGAGCTCTCAGAGGGGCAGACGTGACAGTTCAGTGTCTGCAGAGAGGAGTTCAGTCCTCTGGAGGAGTTTCACACAGCTGCAGTGACAGTGTGAGTCTTAAGACAGCACAGCATATAAAGGGATATAACATGATAAATAAAACACACCTTTCTTTTCAACATGAAAGAGGAAAGTGAGAGCAACAGTTGTATTCTGTGGGAAAAGACTCCCTTAAATATGCACCATAAGAGAGCAGAGAGCATGATACCTTAACTAATCCATTTTAAATAATGGAAGCAAGCTTAGGTGATCTTTAAAATTCTCTTTAGACTTTCTTTATCATCTACTTCAAATAAGGAGAATTTATGAGCTTATATTGATCAAAGATTGCTTTTATTGTGAAATAAAAGCCACTCTGGAAGAAAGTTGAATAGGACTCTCTTTAGTGTTGGCTGTTTTAGAGAATATAAGTGTTGCATCTGATTGTAAGGTTACGTTGTCTGCAGGGTTGCCAGATGTACCATAATTATTGAATTTATTCGATAATTTTTCCCTCTGTACGATGTACAATCAATCACCCAGAAAAAAGGCTAAATGTACAATAATTTGACAGTTTCATAAACGTGCAATGGGCCTGTCTCAGTCCACCACACTTTATTTTTTTAGTTTTTTATTTGCGAACATTAAAGGCATCTTTTTACCACGTGATGTTTCCATCCAATCGTAGTTTGAGTGATCAGCTGTCAATCATGAAATCAGAGTGCTTGAAGGACGCTAAACAGAATAACTATATGTGACTATCGTGCAACATTAAGATTGTTATTTTGATCATGACAGGTGTTCCCCAAAATATGACAATTTTGAGTCTCTGGTACGATGATTCTACACTCACCGGCCACTTTATTAGGTACACCATGCTAGTAACGGGTTGGACCCCCTTTTGCCTTCAGAACTGCCTCAATTCTTCATGGCATAGATTCAACAAGGTGCTGGAAGCATTCCTCAGAGAGCTTGGTCCATATTGACATGATGGCATCACACAGTTGCCGCAGATTTGTCAGCTGCACATCCATGATGCGAATCTCCCGTTCCACCACATCCCAAAGATGCTCTATTGGATTGAGATCTGGTGACTGTGGAGGCCATTTGAGTACAGTGAACTCATTATCATGTTCAAGAAACCAGTCTGAGATGATTCCAGCTTTATGACATGGCGCATTATCCTGCTGAAAGTAGCCATCAGAAGTTGGGTACATTGTGGTCATAAAGGGATGGACATGGTCAGCAACAATACTCAGGTAGGCTGTGGCGTTGCAACGATGCTCAATTGGTACCAAGGGGCCCAAAGAGTGCCAAGAAAATATTCCCCACACCATGACACCACCACCACCAGCCTGAACCGTTGATACAAGGCAGGATGGATCCATGCTTTCATGTTGTTGACGCCAAATTCTGACCCTACCATCCGAATGTCGCAGCAGAAATCGAGACTCATCAGACCAGGCAACGTTTTTCCAATCTTCTATTGTCCAATTTCGATGAGCTTGTGCAAATTGTAGCCTCAGTTTCCTGTTCTTAGCTGAAAGGAGTGGCACCCGGCGTGGTCTTCTGCTGCTGTAGCCCATCTGCCTCAAAGTTCGACGTACTGTGCGTTCAGAGATGCTCTTCTGCCTACCTTGGTTGTAACGGGTGGTTATTTGAGTCACTGTTGCCTTTCTATCAGCTCGAACCAGTCTGGCCATTCTCCTCTGACCTCTGGCATCAACAAGGCATTTCCACCCACAGAACTGCCGCTCACTGGATATTTTTTCTTTTTCGGACCATTCTCTGTAAACCCTAGAGATGGTTGTGCGTGAAAATCCCAGTAGATCAGCAGTTTCTGAAATACTCATGTCTACATGCCTAAATGCACTAACTTGCCGCCATGTGATTGGCTGATTAGAAATTAAGTGTTAACGAGCAGTTGGACAGGTGTACCTAATTAAGTGGCCGGTGAGTGTATCTGTCCCATCTGGCAACACTGGTTGTCTGTATCTTCACTCTCCGCTGCGCATAACTGCACTGAGCACTCTCAACTTGATGGGGCTCATTTCTGTCATTTCTGTGATACAAATTTTACCATTTACAATGAGGAATCCGTCCTACAGCATGGGCAACATATACAGTCAAATAATTAAAAAAATGTAATAATAATAATTAGTTTATTGGTTGATGAGTCATCAAAATCTATTTTTATCACATTTTTCCACAGCTTCCCTTTTTTTAATTTCAGGATTTTAATATTATATCAAATGGTGAATTTCTGAAGGAGAATATGTGATTTCAAGTAAAAACATCACACAGTGCATGACAACCTGTAAGCCAAGGCCACACAGCAGATAATTTAATTGTTTAGCCCCATTCTAGTTAAAATAAATCAAGTCTTTGCTGTTTTGTTTGAAGCTCTTTTGAGGAACCCCACATTCCTGTCCATTTTGGATAAAACAGCCTCTGTCGATTTAGTCCACTGTCCAAACTCAGCTGTTCTGATGACACCTTCCTCTTGCAATAATTTTAGGCATTAAAAATTGGGATGTTAAAGACATCTGTCTTTTTGGTGATGGTCTTGTTTGAATGTGGATATCATGGACAGGCACAGATATGAGTTTTTGTCTCTCTCACAGATACAGCTTTACTTAATGATAGATGGTGGATTTGAGGGGGAAAAAACGTGACATAGACGTTTTTAGTTAAATAAAATTGATCTCTCTTGGGGCACGCAGACAGCCGAGCAGGTTAGCATGCCCCATGTATGAACCTGCGACCCAGCAGCAGTCACGGGTTCGAGTTCGTCCTCACAACTCTCTGTCTCCCCACATTTCACTCTGTACTGTCAATAAAAGGCAAGAATCGCTCCAAAAATGATTAAAAAAAATATATAAATAAATAAAAAATGACCTCTCCTAAATAAAAAGGCCAGTTTTTGCAGTGACTGATTCTGTAATTTCGTCAGACACACAAAACTAACAGAAGAACTTTTGGTTTACCTCTTTTAATCAGGCACCTTTGACCCAAATGGTTACAAAGGGACCTATCCGGCTCGCATTGTGACTGTTCACTGAAACAATAAACTCAGAGTCATTTAGAAACAGTAATATTATAAATGTAACATTTACAGCAAATGAAAATGACAGGAGTTGATCTGAGCTCAAGTGAAATCAAATTAAAGAACAAATCTTAATTAAATGAATAATAAAAACAACATTAATAATTTGATAAAACAGGCCAACATCTGTCCTTTTCCTCCTCTTATAGGCCTGATGAAGAACTCTCTCTTTTGGTTTTAGTTGGAAATTAAAGCCTCTAATTATATCAATTACTCATAAGCAATTAATGTTCCCAAACCTTCATTATGGAGTCATTAAAGTTTTATGAAAATTTGCAGTTGAAGTATATAAAGTAAAGCAGGAAAGAAGCAAAACAACAGGAGAATAAAAAGTGTAAATGTTTGCAGATTTCTTCTGCTAACTGACCTTATTCAACTCATATTATACATTCATGATTCAGCTGACCAAAAGCTCCGTTTATTGAAGGATGCAAACCCCTCTGGAGGAATATTTCTTTCATTGTAACTTTTTTGCTTGTCCTTCTAAAAACAGGTGCCATCAGCAACGAAAGGTAGAAACTTCAGAGGGGAGAGAGACTGAGGGGAGATAAAGAGAGCGAAGAGGCCTTTGAGTAACAACTCATCTTTTATTTGGCAACACTTCAAATGTAGCCCGTTTACCACGTCTAGACGAGACAGCTTTCACAGCCAGGCTAAGCTACTGTTTCTTTTTTCTACCCGTGTATATAAAAGCTATTTACTGTAAGAGCAGAAGACAGACATCTCTTTTAGTTTTCCTACCACAGACACTCTGCTGCTCCTCTACGTTGCAGATGAGTTTGTCAGATGCGTGCGTCCACCTCTCTTTCTCTCCGTCTAACCCTCCTCCTCTCTCTTCTTGCAGTCTGTTTGAAGCTGTGAGAGAAGTGAGACAATCTGATCGTGTTTGATGGATAATTTGAAAAACTCAGCGTGCGAGATCAGGGCTGAGACGATGTTCTGTTTCTGGTGGCTGGGCTTCAGAAAACAGGTCGCACAAAGAGACGTGTTCTCACTCTGCCGCCCTTTAAATTCTGCAGTCAGCGTGTTGAGACCGTTTATGTACTCTAACGACCGCCGCAAGCTTTTCATGTGGCTCTTCACGCCGATTCGCTGTGAGAAACTTCATATTAAAAGACGCGGTATGCAGAGACGGCTTCAGATACTTGTGGTTTTACATCAGGTGTGCCCAAAACTGGAGACAATCCAAGCTCTTTATCTGTTTGAATACTACTCAAATACTGTCATCACAATATCCATACAAATCAATATAACGATGAAATTAGAGAGAGATTGTTTATTCGATCAAATATACATACAGTACAATTTTAGACAAGTAGTTCCCTATTTTTCGGAGATCAAATAGAAGTAGGTAGAAGCTAATAGGCTTATTTGTTCCTACGCTCATTCCTTCCTATTCGTTGACCCTTGATAGATAGATAGATAGATAGATAGATAGATAGATAGATAGATAGATAGATAGATAGATAGATAGATAGATAGATAGATAGATAGATAAAATTCTCTGAAGTGTCTCTAGAAATGTTGAGTTTCTGAAGTCGCCAAAAAGTAACCAAAGCTCCAGTCTAACATGAATAACAAATCATTAATACTGAAACAAAGAACTTATATAAACATATATACATCCATATCTATATACACGTATTTACACACAAATATGCACTTTATATATAGGTAGAATACTTCAAATCTCTCATTTGTACCATACCCATATACAATATAATAAGTGTGAACAAAAATCCCTTATGTTGTATTTTTCAATCATACTCTGCTTTAATTGCAGCTTTAAGGTCCCTAAGTTCATCATACTTTCATAATTTAGAGAAAATATTCTAAAGTTTCTATACCCTAAAATTGGACTTAAAAGACTTAAAAATGTGTAACATGTTGGTGACTGTAGCTTGAATTAAAAATGACAGCAAAGCTTTAAATTAAAATAGTAATTTTGACAGGATGAGATGCTCTCTGCTGCCTATTACTGGATGATTATAAGACAAAAATAAGCTGACACATAATATTGATTTAAAAATGACTTCGTTGATTAAACGCTGATTCACTTTAAGAGCTAAAATGAAAAAAAAAAACAGACCCTTAGATTTAATGGTCACCGATGTTGTCATGGCAACGTAATTTTTATTGGGACATTAAACGGAACATTTCCCTTTATGGTCAGGTTGTAACATTAACCTGCTTATTTGTGAAGACTTCCATTAAACTGATTATTCACACAGTCAGTGACAGGCGTTAAAACTGACTCCTAACTTTCCGTCAACCCAGCAGAAGTGACTTTTAACCTTCTCACAAATAACTTGTGTGTTTGCCTGTCAGTGGAGTCACTCATGCCTCTGATTCGCTAGTCCTGTAACCTTAATAACTGCAAATTAAACATGTCTCAGCAAAACTTTCACTATACAAAAAAACTTTTCATAAAGTTTAAAAACTTCTCCAAACTTTCCTATTCAAGGAAACTCTTCCCCATTTTACAAAATGTATAAAATGTAAGTTATTTTTGAGATTGATTCAATATTTTTGCACACAAAGGAGTGCCGAATAGACTCCTACCACCAGAATTACATTATGCAGTTTCACTTACATCTCCACTTTCTTCTCTGTTAACCATGTTTCCAACATTACCCATAGTGCAATGTGACCAGCGACAGTCTGGAAGGTGATTCAGGTGTTTTTAAAGAAGCAGTATAAGGCTAAGAGATAAACAGTCAACTCCTTCCAATTCATAGATCTTACCTCTGAGCGCAGAGAGGTTTAAATTAATGTATAGACTGTATCCACTCTCCAGAATCCCAAAACAACTGAAATACGTCAACACCAACAAAAATACTGTAAACATCAGATGGTCAGATCTCTTCAGGGAGGGCATTACAAAGTTTTAAAAACCTTTCAGCAACAATGAGGTGGCATTGTGTTTTTAAATTTAACATATACGCTGCTAAGTGTTCTGCAGAACAATGGCAGTACTCTAAGTGAAGAGCAGAATTAAACTCTGCAAACCTTTAATGGGCCACTTCAGGGATTTAATATTGAACTTCCATAAAGTTTAGGGACTTGTAAGTGATTAAAACAATAATGGTCAAAAAAATCAATTCAGAGGTGGAGGATTGGGACCAGAAATACTGCGTTCAACTCTCCAATTCTTTCCATAATGTAAGCTCATCATGCTTATCCATTCACTTCTGTTTGACTGAATAGTTATTCGCAGTGTAAGCTTTCTGATTAACAGAGGTGGTCTACAAAGCTGAGCTGAGCCGATCCTGATCACATGATCATCATGTATGGGGAGTTTTAACTCCTAAAGGTCGAAGGTTTGGACTTAAAGGGATATTGTGGTGTAAAATTAAGTTAGGGTCAAACACACTGTAACACCGAGTTAGACACCACGTCTAGAGATGAATATTGCCGACCACTTGCTTCTCTAGTTATACCAACTAACAGCAATACAGAGAGCCACAAGCTCAACCAAAAAGCCACTCTATTGCCACAAATAATGCTCAGAACAGCACCTAACTTCATCAACAGTACATATAGGGTTTCCAGCCATGGCACTAGCCACCAAACAATATTTTAACTTCGCCTAATTTCTTTAGCAAAGAGACTAAACACAACTCACCTACTCTCCTCCAGCAGCTGCTTGTTTGTACGGAGACCTCCAGGCGAGTCCATTACCGACTGCAGTGGGGTGACCCGGCTCAAGGAAGAACATTTATGATAATTTCTTTATCATTTCCTTGAAGTAATAATCATCATATTAATCATTTTGCACTGCAGACGCGGTAGTTCTTCTGCCTTAGTGTCTCATTCTTATTGCATTTCCATGAGGAAATGATCATGAATGTTCTTCCTTGAGCTGCGTCGCCCCGCTAGGATTAGCTAGTTTGCATTCAAAAAGAGGGCACCCTACTGTGAGTTTCTGTAAAATGTATAGGTCCTGATTGACATATTCAGTTTTGAGTATTGATTATAGAAAACAGTCAAAATTGAGAATAACCAGCAGTACTTCATGTAAACAATGTCTAACTGGTTTACATAGTTTTTGTTAGCGGCGTTTGCACCACCAGCCTTAGATCCTCCGAGCAGCTCGAGAAACGGGAAATGTCACAGACTTGGACAGTGTTGAGACAAAGGATAGTAATGATAAAACCTCAATTAAGTTAATTAAGTTTAATTGATATTTGATATAACCTTATTGATTTTTTTTGATAAGATGATAAGATGGAAAATGTAAAGTGAGCAGGTTGTTTGTTAATCCAAGACCTCTCTGCATTATGTTTGGGTTACTCTACATTATTGCAGATGGGGGACAGAGGTTGTCACATTTTGAAGCACTAGCCAGTAACCAAGCTGCTGAACTTGACATGTTGATGAGGGGAAAAAAAGCTGACAAGTGATCACGGTGTCATGTTACAGTGGCAGAGACAAAACTCTTTACAAAGACAACATGCGGTTCCTCTTAAATAGCAAAGCGTTTCGCCCGACTGTCGATGACCTCCACACTTGCTCTGAATCACTGCGGACAGGAATCAGCTTCACTACTTTAAAGGCAAAATTCAAATTGTAAAATATTGCCACACAAAGCGGCAGAATGGAAATATTTTTCCGTGCCGCAGGGTGTCCTTCTCCGCCTCGCCGCTGGGATCCTGGGCGTCTCTGATGACGGGGTGCGACTGTGGCTTCTGGGGAGTGTCTGGAATGGGTGCCATCTCCCTGCGGTGCTCCACAGAGGCCTGATGACGGGAAGAGAAGGGACATGTCACCGTTTTCGGCTGGCCATTGGATGACATGAGAGGAGAAAGAGGTTGGAGTGGAGGGGGGGGTTAAAACTGAGGGTGCATGGGAATGGCTTCTTCTCCCCCCCTGCAGCTCTGGCACATCACCAGCGTTATGGCGGTAATTGATTCTCTCTGTGCCATTAGTCTCTGAGACAAAGATGCGCCAACGGGAGGGGGTGCTGTCACTTAGAGGCTGGCATGGCGCCCAGCCGCACACTCTCACCAACACACAAATAGATACATGCAAAGATGCACTCGCTCTACGGGCGCACACACATTTAGTTTTTCACACAGATGCAAAGTAGCGCGGCTTTAATGTCAGCTGTCAAGGTCTGTTGAAGCAGGAGCATTGCTCATTTGCAAATAAGCCAAACATGAACGGTATACAGCGCAAACATGGTTAATGCAGAACTCTACGCACAGAGAAATCAAAGGGAATACAAATGACTGCTGATCAGTTCTGACATCCTCCTCTTACACATGATGTTTCTCTGTTTGTGTTTGCGAGGTTCCTGTGGTCGTGGTGGAAGCGCATTCCTCCAACACACATCACCACACACTTGAATATAAAACAAGAACTCCCCAGACAAAGAGCAGGGCACGTCGTTATCTTATTAAAGTTAACAAGAGGCTGCTGTCCTCTGTCTGCAGACCGCTCGTAATCTGATACAGATTAGGCCTCCACAAGCATCCAGATGCTCGTCATTGTCGGAACACTGATGCCGCCGCCGCCACCGACACCTGAACGCTTACTGTTGTCGTAATTCACATCGTTACGGAGACCATCATCACGTCATCCGTAACATCTTAACTGTCGACACATGAATAGCAAACATTGTACGACGTTACCATGGCAATCGTCTTTTGTCATCCTCCCTGATGCTGTTTCTCATCACCATGGTCACGGCAGCAGTACCTGCCTCACAGTGAGGAGGAGAGGTGGAACAAAAGCAGGTAAAACCCTGAAAACACACACACACACA